CTCTCTCTCTCTCTCTCTCTCTCTCTCTCTTTCGCTCGTTCGCTCTTCATCAATCCCTCGTTTTATTCCGAAAAACGTCCGCAAGAAGACGGCGGCCACGCATTTGCTCCTCCCCAATGATTGTTATTTGCCGTCGTGCAGGGCCATGTGCGGCCGTCTCACCCGTCACTTGGCGCCCAGCACTCGCAGTCACAGCAGTCACACAGTGTGCCGCCGTGGACCACGCCTGCAATAAGAAGAAAACACAAATTTACATGCGCAGGCGGAATACTGCGTACGGCAGCGCGCAGCCACACACAGTTGTTGGCATATCGTCGAAGAGAGCGCCAGGGGGGAAGCCGGTGCTTAAGAGCGAAGTGGAGCTTTTGCTACTGAGACCTTTTTTTTGTCCTTCGTGTTTTTCTTGTTTTTTCCTGCCGTTTACCTTTTTCCTTCACGTGGAGAAACCTCGACACCCCGCTCACCGCGGCCACCGACAAACCGCGAGGGTTCCGCGGAGAGCTCATCGAGGTCCTCCCCGCCATAGTACGGAGCCGCCGCCGCCCCGCTTCCTCCCACCCCCAACTGACGACTAGGCGGACTCACGCCCAGCACCGTAATGCGGGGCGCCGGTCCACGCGGATTTCTCCCAAGTCCTGGCGCCGCCGTCGGAGCCACCTCGGGCCCAAGGGTCAACCCGCCAGGAGCCGTTCCGTTGCCGTCGCCAACAACGCCCGGCCCAGCCGCCATCTGGCGATTCTGCGCCGGCAATGCGTTAAGCGGCCCGAGCTGCCGCTGAAGGAGCGGAGAAGGCAATTGCGCTAACGGCGGCAGTGCCGCGGCACCGTGACCCCGGCGCGTCTCTGATTCTAGGGTGCGCTGAATATCCAGGTGGTTGGCCATCATGTCGCGTAGCTTGGCTTCATAGTGCGCGGCACCATGCGCGGAGCCCGGTTCTTTTGGCGTGAAGGGGGCCGGCACCGACCACGCAGGTGCGGGCGCCTGTGAGGGGAGAGCCGCGGCCGCGGCATCCACTGCCGGCGGCGCTGTTGGCGCGGCGGAGGGAAACGGAAGCGTTGGCGCCAATGCAGGGAACCCGGGCACCGCAGGCTCGTACGGCCCAACATCAAACGGCAAGGGACCGAGTGAAAAAAGCGGAGGGGCTGGAAAGAGGGGAGCAAAGACACTGCCAGCGGCCCCACTACTCGCTGGCGGCTCCGTAACCGGTGGAGACTGCGGTACAGAATTCCCGGCAGGCAACACCGACTCTTTCTTCTCCGAGGGGGCGGCGGCGGCCGGGTTTGTCTCACTGCTGCTGACCACAGGCTGCGCTGCAGAGAAACTCTGCTCGGCGTCTTTTCCCTCGGCTGCCGCAAGACGCTCAGCCTCCTCGGCCTTGCGCTTCTTATTTTCATACATTTGTCGCTGAAGATCCTCCCGAAACTGCGCCTCGCTGCTATTCTCCACCAAAGTGCTTTTTTTCCGCCCCTTCTTCGCCTCGTTCGCCTCCTGCCGCTCGCGTTCCATGTCCAACTGCTCCTTTAAACCAATCCGCGCCCGCTCTAGTCGCGCCAGCTCCTCCTGCTGCCGCTGCTCCTCCATTTCTAACCTCTTCTCCCGCTCCCGCTGAAGACGCCGCTCCTCACACAGACGTGCGTTTTCCTTTTGAACCTCTATGGCTTGCTCTCTCGCCCGCCTGCGCGCCACCAGTGCGTCATCCTTCTCCTGCGGATACGGGGAAACGGGGTGACGCGCCAGCCGCTGGCATGACCTCTGTTCGTCGTCGTTGTTGTTGCTGCTGCTGCTGCGTATTTGAACGGCAGGATTGCTATTGAAATCGCCCCGGTAGTCGCGCTGTGGCGAGACGGCATGCGACGGGGGCCCTTGCAGCAGTGGTGGAGACACCGCGAGTCGTGGCGGAGTTTGTGGTGAAAAAGGAGCCTGCTCGCTGCAGGGCACCGCGGTGGAGGGATATGGCACAAACGGCGGCGCATTAGCGAGAGCCGCCGCGTCAAGCGCGGGAAACCGCAGTGGGGACCTTTCCAAGACCAGCGGACCCGGCAAAACGGGCGACGCGTTGAGCGGAGGAAGTGCAGAGGCAAACTGGATTGGCTGTGGAAAGATGTCGTTCCTGTTATAGTTGGCCTTGCCTTGCAGTGGCGGCAGTTTCGCAGGTGGTGCAGCGGGGACCATATGCGGCGCAAGCCACTGCTCTCTTTGCTGCAGTGCCTCTTGATACTTCTGCGGGCTTTGCTCCCTCTGTCGCTGCTGCTGCTGCTGCTGCACCGACTGCCACGAAATGGGGTTCACGTCGGGCCGTCGCTGCGGAAACCGTCGTGCCCCGCCGTGGACATGCTGCGCGACCACAGCCTGCGCGCCCCCAATCTCATACTCCTCGTTGCTGTGCCCGATCTTGCCTGTCAGCTGCTGCTGCTTCTTGCGTCGCGCGTACAGCATGTCGTCCGCCAACCCTCGCCGCTATTGCGCTGCTGCAGTGACTACAACTGTGCCTCGCACCCCGGCGGGCGCAAGGGAGGCCGCGATACGAACTCCACCGCCCACAGGCGCAGAGAACAGACACGCAAGGCGGCCCCGAAGAAACTGGACCTGGAAAAGACACGAAGTACGCAAAGAGCGGAAAAAAAGAAGAAGTAGGAAAGAGTCCACGGTGGTTTCGTGCGGATTCACTTGTATACACGCAATAAAATACTTCTGGGACGTATTCAACCGGCATAAAAACGGCGAGAGAAGCGGGGAGGAAGACACAACGCAGCAGTGGAAAAAAAAAAAAACTTCCGCAGAGTAACGGTGAATCTCCTTCTTTTTTCCTCTTTCTTTTTTTATGTACATTTCTGAGGACCACCAAACGCAAGCAGGATGCACACAAACAGGGGAGAGGGACATCAACAAAAGGGAGCAGCGCCACCCACCACCAGCTCCTCCTCCTCCCACAGAGGCAGACACAAACTCTGGCTTGTTCCTTCCTGCGCGGCAGATTCGTCGTGCGCCGTGAGGGCAGCAGCGGCGGCGGGAGAGTCGTTGAGAGGAGGGCAAAAAGCAGAAAAGCAGAGAAGCAACCGTGGGAAGCAAATACTAGACATGCCCCCTCCCCCTCTCTAGATTGGCGGGGGCAACGCAATCATATGCTCCAGCTGGTTGCGTTTGTGGACTCCCTCCTTCTTGATCGCCGCTACTTCGTCCGCGTGCAGCTTCTCTAAAATCAGCATTTGCTCCTCGCCCTTAGCAGAGAGCTCGTCGCACTGCTGCCGCAAGACTTTCTCTTCCTCAGCCAGCTCCTCCGTTCGCCGCTTCAGGTTTTCGATGTCCTGCTGCACCCGACTTGTGTCCTTCTCGCCCTTGAGCGCCAAGCGAAAGGCGTGGCCGACGCGAGACTCAAACAACTCCCGGTGCGCCGTCTGGGCGGCTGTGCGCTCGGCGTGAATTTTGAGCAGCAGCAGTCCCCGCTCCCAGCACTCCGCGGTCACCTGGCGAATGACCTCTAAGAAGCACTCCGCCAGCAGCAGGGAACGCAAGGGAGAGACGGCGCAGCGCTGCACCCCCAGCTTCTTCATGCGACGGCGAAGTTTCTCGTGGGTCTCGACGGTGTCCGTGCGGGACACGGGGTACGGGCTGCCGTGCTGCACCCACAGCACCCCGGCCTCATCGCGCCACGCACGCGGGGTGATGAAGGAGTCAATCACGATGCGCACGTTGGGGTCGACCCGGCGCTCGTCGAGAGGGATCCCGAGGCGCTGGCGCAGCTTAAACGACCGCTTGGGGTCGGACGGCGCAAAGGGGATGTCGTAGCGAATGAGCGCCACTTCGGGGTCCGCGGGGCCGTCAACAAAAACGTACTTGTGCTTGCCGGCATCCGCTGACCCCCGCGACGCCGCTCCTCCCGCCGTGGTCGCCCCAGCGGTCTGCTGCAGCGCGAGTTCGGGGGCTGCGCGTGACGTCATTCTCGTCCCCTTTCCTTTCCCCTATCCGCAATCCGCGGCCGCGGCTGCTGCCTCCACCTTTCTTTTGCTTACTGTATGTTGTTGTTGTGGTTGTTGTTTCTTCTTGTTTTCCGAGGCGGCAGGAGCCAGCGTCTACAACAGGCTGAAAGGAGAAGGCAGGGAGGAAGAGGAGGGTGCATCGGCAGGACTGCAGCGCCCAACGCGAATGCCGCCCGCGCCGTCGCACCAACACACACTTGCACGCACGGCAAAAAGCAGAGGCGCAGGTGCACCCGAGCGACTTGTCACCCCACAGAGAACGCGACGGAGAAAGAGAGAGGGAGGAAGAGACTGAAACGCCCACAGAGGCATAACGCAGACCCCGGCTTAAAGCAACACGCACCTTTTGGACGACGGGAGGGGGAGTGGCGGCAACGGGCTCGCCTGAGAGCCGCCTTGCCCTTCTCCGCCTCCGACCACCCCCCAAGCTAGGCCGCCCTCGGCGCTAGTAGTACACCAACTCCCGCATGCTACGCGGCACATCCGCCGGGGGCTCCACGGTGTTCAAAAAGTTGTAGTCATCCACCGTCGTCGAGAGGATCTCCGCGGAGGCATCAAAGTACGATAACTCAAGAAATCTTTCGTAATGGTGCACGTGGGAGCGAACCTTATAAAGCCGCATGAAGCGCTCGTAGATTGTCTGTAGCTTCTGCGCAATGGAGCAGTGATTGGATAGCATCAGCACTGAATTCCGGTGTCCCAGGGGACTCACACTGCAGAGGGCTGTTTTGAATCCATCCTCGTTCCAGTAGACCAACTTTTGCCGCGCGCGAATGCGTGGAATGTTACGAGCGAGATCCCCAACCGTAACCTGCGGCCCACGGGCAATGAGGGCGGTGGCCAGGCAAGTGCCCGCGTCCCGCGTCAGCGCCGACTGGGTCCCGCCGGAGACGTCGACAAACTGGTGGTCCTTCTCCAGGCAGGCAGTGAGCAAAGAATCCACGGAACGCGGTCCGGCGGCTGCCGAGTACCGCGCGACGTTAAGTGGGGCAATGGCGGACGTCAGAAACAGGAGTCGTGGGTAGGGAACGAGGTTGGTCGTGATTTCATTGATGTCCATGTTCAGCGGCCCCGGAAACCGCATCGCGCACGTCAGGTTACTCAGCAGCTGCGCCACAAGCGCGTTCATGGAGTCGTACGGCAGCTTTGTCTTGGTCGGCTGTGCCACGCTGTAGCTGTGGACATCCGGCACCCCGCCACGTATCACCTCCCCGGCCGCGTTGCTTACGGACTTGCGCCCCAGTGCGGCGTCTGCCATGCGGGCGAGGGCGTCGTTGTCCAGCGGCAGCACCGCATCCGCGTGCTCAATGAGCTCCCGCACGGCGAAGGCGGTGTTGTACGGCGCCGTCACAACGTCGTCCACGGCCCCCGGCGTCACCACAGGACAGATGCGAAAAATGTGCGGGAACTCATCCTCCAGCATCCCCAGCACGCGTGTGCCTAAGCCGGAGCCGGTGCCACCGCTCAGCGAGTGCATTACAAAAAAGGACTGAATGCTGTCACAGCGCTCCACCTGCCCCCGGACCGACTCCGAGATGCTATCAATGTACTTGTCGCCGTACTCCATGTGCCCCACCGCCCAGTTGTTTCCCGCCCCGCTGACGTCGGATACAAAAAAGGTGGCATCAAAAACGTCCTGCAGCGGGCCACGCAGCATGGAGCGCAGCACGCCCTCCTCCATGTCAATCGCGACGCAACGTGCCCGCAGCGCCGTGCTGCCATCTCTGCCCACAGGCTCCGAGATAAAAAGTGCGTCGCGGGCGTCGGGGTACTGCGGGTTGGCCTTGTGCTCCTCCAACATGACATCCCACCACTTAAGGCCGAGCTGGTTGCCACACTGGCCGACTTGAATAGACACGATCTCGCGCGGCATCGTCCGCCTCACTCACACCGGCAAAAATAACACGAAAACCGCACTAAACACCGCCACTCCTTTTCTCACCCCCTTCCTTTCTTTGCCTCTATAATTATCTTCTTTTGTATGTGTGCGGGTTTATCTCCTTTTTTTTTGGGGGGGTGCCTCTGCTCTCTTGCACGGCACGCCGCCCTCACTCCCCGCTAGAAATAATGTCCAGAGGGATGGGACTGTTTCCGCACGCGCAGAAGAAGTAAAAGAAAGAAGGGGAAAAAAGGAAGAGGAGAGTGTTTCGAGAAGAGGAAATCTAAACACCGCCGTGCATGCAGCATGTGATATGTAGCGTGCAATATATATGTATATATTAAACCCGTGTCCATTGGAGAGGCCTTTTCTCCATGTATGTGCATCTTTGCTCTACCGTCTAGCTGCCTTTCCCGCTTCACAAGCGGTCGTCTACTAACGTATTCAACTGTCGTTTTACGATCTCAACGTACTCGCGAAGGCGTGCCTCATTCCGTTGCACCCTCTCTTGGGTTACATCGAGCCTTTCGAGCAACGCCTTCAACGCAAGGCGCTTTCTGCCCGCCGTTGCGGAGCTGCTGCCACCCACTCCATCGCTCTGACGCTGAATGGCTGCAACCACCTGCATCCGCTTCAGCTGAAGCTGCTCCTCCTGCGTGAGAACGCCAGCGTGTTGGGTCTGCAGCAGGTGAAGCTGATCTCGCAGCTCCAGCATGAGCGTCTCCCGCGCGGTCGGCGGACGCGGCTTGGTGGAGCCTTGCGCCCCTGGCGAAGGCGTTGCCTTCCCCCTTCCGCCCTTCCGCCGCGGCACCGGCGACGGCGGCGACAGCGACAGCGGCGGCGAGGATGACGCGGCTGCCCTGGGCTCAGCCGCATGCACGGTGTGCGTCTCACGCTGCTCCCACTGCCGAGGGGGCCGCCGCGCCCGCTTCCTCGCCGAGGAGTAGCTGAGGGATGAGCAGGGAGAGATGGAGCGCCGCGGCGGCGGCAGCAGCGCCTGCTCCGCCGGTGCGGTGGTGTAGCGCGCGGCCCCCCCGCCGCGTTCGCAGTGCCGGTCGCCGGAGCTGGCGGAGTCGCAGTCCGACCACATCGAGTCGGAGGAGGCGCAGGAGGCGGGCACCGGGAAGATCTCCCCGCGGTGGCCGTTGCGTGCCGCATCGACCGACCTCAAGACCCCGCGCGCGCTCGCAAGGATGCGGTTGACGTCCGCCGTCGACAGCCGCCCGCCCCCAACGTGCTCCGCCTGCGGTGACTGATACTCCGGCGACAAACGCCGGTCAATGCGGACTGCGCCCGGCGACGCCGAAAAGGAGCCCGCAGGCGGCGGAGGCGTCGTTGGTGCGGCGCCGCCCCCCGCTGGGAGGCGCTCCTCCGTCAGCGGCGACACCACCACCATCGGCTCCTCAGACTCCGGAGAAGTAGTCTTTGCATGCGGCAGCGTGCCTGCCCCGGTGCGCCTCCCAAGCTTCGCAAGCAGCTGGTTTCGCTTCTCCTGCAGGGAGGCAGAAGTATGCGGCACGGGCACCTCATCCTGCAAAGGCGGAGGCAGCGTTCGACTGCGACTCCGTGTCGGTGATGCTAACAAGCCGCCTGCCTCGTAAGGCGAGGCATAGTCACCCGTGTCTCTGTTGGCACGCTTCGAGTTGACCTCAGCGCTGCGGTGATGGCTTGCGGACGTACGCAGCAACGGCACCTCACTATGCGCCACAGGTGTGGCGGCCGCGCTGCCCAGCATTAACGCCCCCTCGGATGTCAAGAGTCGCTTCTTTAAAAAGATAATATCCTCTTCCAGCTGCTCACACCTCGCCCGTGCCGCCCTTTCCCTCTTCCTCCACGCCTCGTTCTCCCCCTTCAGCTCCCTTGCCGCCCGCCTCCACCGCCGCCTCTCTTCCTTCATCTCCGTTAAGGCAGCACGCAGCTGGTGGTTATCTTCCATGCGTGCTGCCAACCTATCTTTGAGCAGCGCAATCTCCCCGCTGTCCTCGCTTCGCCCCGCATTTGGAGCCGCCTCGACACGATCCACAATTTCTGGGCCACAGGTGGAGGTGGAGGCGCTACGCCTCTGCGGTGGTGGTGGTGGTGGTCCCTCGTCCGCGGAATCCGCATGCGTGGAGGGGCATTGGCTACGACACGAACAGCTGCTGCCGCTACTGGCGTTGCTTGCCGCCAACCGCTCAACCAACAACGGCACGGAGCCGAGCAGACGCTCTTGCATGCCAATAATCAGTCTGTCCTTCGCCTCCAGCAGCCGCAATAGTCGTGCGTTCTCCGCGGCGACTGCGGGTGTGGGCTCATTTGGCCCGGGCTCCTGGCTTGGTGTCGCATTCCCATGCACGTCACTGCCCACGAGCTGGGAGGGCGTCGCCGCCGACGGCGACTGTGACGCGTCGTGGGCGTCGGGGTCCCCTGCAGCTCCGCCGTCCCTCTGCCGCAGTGAAGGGCGAGCGTCCAGAGAGAGCTGCAGCTGCTCTTCCTGTGTCCGTTTTTCAAGGCACCTTGCCAGCGGCGGTGGCGGCGTGACGCTCGCCTCTCCCGTCTCCGCTGTGCAGAGCGAGGGCGAACGCGGATTGCCGCTTCGAGGCGAAGCTTCACTCTCGCACGACGGCCGCAGATAAATATACGAATTCCGCTCCGCTTGCAGCGGCTCCCCACACGCGGGTTTGACGGCGACCATCTCACACCCGAGCGACTTGGGCGATGGCGAGACTTCAACGTCAACATCCACGGGTTCGGGGCTGCTGCCGCTGCGGCGGCGGCGGCACTCCTGCACTTGACCACCGCGAAGTAGCCGCTCCAACGCTCGTCCGCAGCGCTCACCCGTTGGTGACCGCGGCGACTCCTCGCGAGGGGCCGAGCAGGAGGGACGGAGAGTGCTCGGCGGCGAAAGCGAAACCGACACGCGCGCCGCCGCAGGATCGCCCCTTATAAACACATTGAGACCGTCGCCCCCGCCGCCCCTGCCCGCGGCACCAGGCAGGGCCTCAAAGTAGGAAGCAGCGGCTGGGGCCACGGGGTCGTAGATCTCACGCAGAGCCACCGCCAGGCAGACAACGATGTGCTGCTTGCTCGCCATCACGTCCTCCAGCTGCTCCAGAAAGCGCAAAGCCGCAGCATGTGGGCGCGGCTCGCGGGTCCCGCCCTGTTCCTCTGCATCCTCCGCCGTCGTCAAGGCGGGGTAGTAGTACAGGGTGCCACCCTTGACGGACGACGGCGCAAACAGCTCCGACAACTGCGTGCCCAGGGCGTTGATCGCCTCCTCCTGCAATTGGGCGAGGCCCATGAGCTGCTCCCGCAGCGAGGCGACCCGGCCGCAGGGCTCCCAGCACATGCCAGAAGCCCCACCCCCAACGGACTCCTCCGGCCCCTCTCGAAAGCACGACTGAAACGGCAGTAAGACGCTCTCAATGGCCTCAGACAACTTTGGGTTGAGGCCGGAGTGCTTCACCTCAAAAATACGCAGCCGCACGACTTCGCGGTCCAAGTCGTCCAGGGCAACAGCAGGCAGACGGCGTGGTTCATCTCCGCGTTTAACTGTAGGAAAGAGGCGCTCGCGTAGGGCCGAGAGCAACGTCACACTCTCCGCCTGCGTTTTTTGAACCCGCACCAGGAGATCTAAACAGTGGCGCAGCGAAAGAGACCCGACCGAGCAGTCGGTGGCCCCCACTGAAGAAGAGGAGGAGAAAGACGACGACGACGACGCGGCCGAAGCCCATGCTGCCGCACATGACGGTTTCTGCGGCAATGACCGGTGACTTCTGGCATTACCGTTGAAGTGGCGGTCGACCAAAGGAGGCGTGGCGTTGCGTCCCGCGGTACTTCGCACTGGCGGGGACAACTCCGCGGTGTGCATCGGGCGCTGCGCACTCCCTCTACTTCTCAGCCTTTCACGGCCTCCACGGAAGGGATAGCCGCCGTGGACTGCTCCGCAGACACACAAAGGGGGCGCAGCGGTGGACGCTGCCTCCAGGCCGCCCCTACCCCGTCCTCCAGCAAGAGAAGAAAAACAACTGGGTGAAGGAAAAACGCCTTGCGCCCTTTTTGAGAGCGCGCGTGTGTGTGGGAGAGTGAGGGAATAAAAGGGAACGGAGGGGAGTAAAGAAGGGTGGGGTGTTCTACAGGTGCGCGCCACCGTGTCTCGCGCGCATCACGAGTGACACGCACTTCGCCCCGCACACAGTGACGGTGAGGGAGAGAAAGTGAGTGAGTGCGGGGCAGACGAAAATGCCAAACTCCACCACTTGGAGATGCACTCAAGCACAAAAACAAAACAAAAAACGAAGGGGGAAGCTGCGGGGCCTCGCTGAGGCGCAGCACGACGCAGCACCCTGGTCACCGCAAATTTCAAACGCCAAACAATGTAGTTGGGCGCCGTCCGAGAGAGAGGGAGAGAGAGAGAGAGAGAGCGGCAGCGCAGGGTCGTCGCACTCTGCGCCCCAATCATTTGCCACTCCCGCCCCGCCCCACCTTGTTGCTCGCGCTGCTGCTTCTACCTGCATCCCACACACCCCGCCCACTAGACTAGACGCCTCCCACGGGCATCCCACTGGATCCTCTACCCATTCCCTCCACTAAGAGCTACAGCAGTCCCCCCACCCTACGCGACAGAGTACATAAAAAGCCCGCTCCCAAACCCCTCCCTCTCCCCATAGAAGCACACAAATGTGGATGTGTATATATATATATATTCATGTACGGCAATTTATTCACCGGACTACCCTGCTTCACTCACTCGTGCCTGCAGCTCCTTAACTTCTGTGAGCAGCTTCTCTGCGCGCAGGGCATCACGCTGATGCGCATACCAGTAGTTGTACTCCTGATCCACGTGACCCATACGTAGCGCCTCCCCCTGCAGTGTGGCAGACAAACGATGGCCGCTGTCATCCTCCTGCAGACTAGATAAATTTTGCAACGCCTGACGTCGATGCATACGCTCCATTTCGTTATAGTACATTACAGCCTTACGCCTCAGCTCAACATGAGGACCGTCCCGCTGCCGCTCAAAGTACTCTGACATCTTGTACCGGAACGGAAATACGGCAGCCACGCCAAAGGCAATCAAGAGACCGGCGTATGAATGCGGTGCGGAGCTCATGAAGCCTATTGGCGTGTACCACGGCCGCTGTGCATAACGCACCATTTTGCCACTGCTATCGCCAGCCTACGGGTATGGATGTGTATTATATATATATATATGTATGTACTCCTCTCTTATTCTACGGATATACAGATATACGTATGTATTGTACGCCTGTCAACCTTTTGTAGGTCTCTTCTAGTCAGCTGTCACTTGGCTACTCTCAGCTCTGCTCCACGCGCTCCACGCACCGCAACAATGAGGTGTGTGGCAGCAATAACAAAGAAACCAAAAAGGAAAAAGTAGAAGCACATGATGGCAAGGATGCACCACGGCAGAGCAAAGGAAAGTGAAAGCTGCTGCGCCCAACCCGGTCAGCTTCTCCCTTACACATGCTTCTCTCTCTCTCTCTACTAAACAACAACAGCAACCAAATACCGAAAAAGAAAAAACAAAAAATAAAAACAAAGCTATAATAAAACAGGAACTCCCCCTTCAGATTGTACTCCCTTTGCAGTGGCAACGATACACATTG